CAAGGGCTTTTGCCATCTCTCTTCTCAGCAGTCGTCTTTTCTCTGCCAATGCCTGAGCTGTCATCTCCCTCCTGGCCTCCTGCCTGGCCCAGCTGCTTTCCTGACCCCATTTTCAGACAAGGTTAAGGCTTAGGCCAGGCTCTAGCCTTTAAGTGGCCTTGCCAAGGGTGGAAATACCCAGGTTCTTTCATTGGGGTCCAAGTCACAAGGGCAGCTCCCATACGGGCTGGCAGCTGTGCTGCTCAACGGGCTTGAGCCAGCGGCCAGGAGGTAAATAGCTCCTCTCTGCTATCAGTCCCACAGGCTGTCGCTTTCTTGTCCTCCATCGCTCTCATTTCGGCACTCTTGGCTTCCTTCTGCTTACTGCGGTTTCCAAGTACTGGAAGCACCTGCAGCACCAGTGCAAGCTGATCTCCCAGGGAAGTGATGAGGCTAAGGTCTAGGCAGAGGCATCCAGTCCAGCGAGCTGTAGATCACCACTGCAAAGGCTGGGGCAGTGTGACTGAGGTCCCCCTCCAGCTCTCCACCCGGCAGCACAGCAGGAGCTGTGAAGGGAACCCATCTCCTCGCTCCAGGCTGGAGAAGAGGGCCAGGAGGAGCCTCTTCAAGAGGACACCCTGGACCTGAAAGCTGCAGCAAGGCAGACTCCACCAGACAAGCTGTGGGAGAACACGACTCCAAGGCAGGCTTGGTGCATGGGCTCAAAGCAAGCCATCGTGCTGCCTTCGTCCAACCATCTCCTGGGTGCTGCAGGGCACCCAGCACCATCCCTACCCTCCATCCAAGTGCTCACCACCTCGATGAGCTCCCCATATTGGCTGCACCCCCAAGGCGTACCGGGCTTTGGGCAAGGGGCTATGGCAACTTCCAGAGACAAGCAGCAGCAGCAATTCGAGCTTTGTGCTAAACCCTAACTACCACGTTTAAAAGTGCAGCTTAAATGCTGCCTTGGGCAGTTTAGCCACGTGGCAGCCGTTTGCCCTTTCTCCAGAGTAGCTTTACGTGTCCATGTGTTGCTGAACACCACCCAAAACAAGAAGCCTTCCTCACATCAGGAAAGACCACAAAGACTCTTCTGGAGCCCCCATACTCCTTATCTAATTGGGTGAGCGATCATGGTCCCATCACCCTTGTCCAGCTGCCATGCATATAACCCAGGCAGCCCTGCTGACCACGGCCAGACGTGCCTGACCATCCGCCCGGCAGTATGGTTCGGCAGTTGTCTCAAACCGTCCAGGTCTTGCACTGAAACACCGATGCAGTTACAAGAGCTTAAAAGGCACTTTCCAGCTGTTTTGGTCCAGTGACGCAGGACAGACATCTGCATCTTCTCGTGCAGCAGCTCAGACTGACGGAAGGAAGCCCAGGCTCTGCTCCAGCAGCCACGCTTCCTGATCCAGGCTCACACCAGCGATTGCAGCATCGGCAGGGTCAGCTAGGCCACGGGAAGGCTCCAGCGCCTCTGAAACACAGTTTTGGTCCACTTCCAATGATGGGTTTTGCAGAAGATGGAAGCGAGGACCCCCCACCTGCATGGGGAACCCCAAAGCCCCTCCAGCCCTGTGCAGCCAGGCTCTCCCAGGAGCCAGTTTCTATCTTGGCACAGATATGGTCCCCATTTCCCAGCATACGCCTCCAAGTGAAGCTGGCAATTACCCTGGAAGCATTTTGGATTGCCAACGGAATGCTTTAGGAGCAGGAGGGATGCATGTGTCAGTTTGCGGCCACAGGAACGTGCCCAGCACCCATCTATCGAACATTCAGAACTCGTCATCTTCTTGGATGGCATCTTCATGGAAGACGTCCCTCTGCAGACACCAAGCCGTGAGCTCCTCCGCCCCTGCTGACCGATGTCCTCCTCCTTTTGCCGCCACTGCAGCGCTATCCCTCTGCAGACAACCATGCAGGGAGGGCAGGAAAAGGGGGCGTGAGAGCTGGACGCCTGGCGCTGGGCCATGCTCCTTCACTCGCTCGCCAGAGGAGACTGGGGGAAGCGGGAGGGGGAACGAACAAAAACACAAGCGAAGAGTGACTTCATCTTAAAAGGCAGCTGCAAATTTCCTCCGTTTGCAGGCTTTCCAGCTTTTCAAAGCAACGCAACAGTTTCCTGTGGTCCTGTCTTGACACCCAGTGGGCATTCAGCATGCAGGCAGCTGCCTGCTCCCTGGTGTGAGTTACGACTGCAACTCGCTCCAGGTGCCAGCTCTCGCCTTCCCCTGGCTCCAGGGCTAAGCCAGACAGCCTGAGCAATAGATGGAGCACTGGGCAGATGTCCAGGGCTCCTGTTGGCCACGTACAGTCCCCAACCCCATGCCAGTCCCCCACAACATGTACCACCGCAAAAATCTGCCAGGGCCTGATGCTGGCCAGCAGACAGGTCACACAGGATGGGAAAATGGGCTTCAGGGCAGGTAAACCCTAGGATAAAACCTGGAGTCTCCTGTTTAAAAGGGCTTAGGAAGGTTCAAGAACAAGTCCCTCTGTAAAACCAGGTCTCGTCTCCTGTCTCGGATAGTTTTCCCTGGTGCTTGGGGAGCCGGCAGACCGCTTCAGCTCGGGCAGCTGTTCTCCTCCTGGCTCTTGGTGACAGTATGACCATGTCACTCCAGCTCTCGCTGCTTCTGTCCCTCTTTGCTCTTCACTCCCTCTCTCCCCCAGGGAGAAGCTCTTCAGCACAAAGCTGCAGTTATCACTTGTCCTCCTGGACTTAGCACCTCTCCTTTTCCTTCCCCTTCCCAATTTCAGCACATCCACTTCTGCACCCACTAAACTTTAAGGGCTGAGCAGGGCCAGGATGCAGGAATCACAGGAAAGCTGGGGAAAACCATTTAACAGTCATAAAACAAAATCTAAGCGCAAATGAAAAGACCTGTACTTTCAAGAGAGGAAAAAATCAAGGGCATCAATAAGACAAGGGAGTTGCTGGGCTTTGCAGGAGTGCAAAAAAGGAATGGAGGGTACAGACCACCAGCCTAAAAAGCTGACACTTGCATTGCTCTGGGATGTGTTATGATGGGCGTTAAGCATCAGCCTTGCTGGCAGGATGCAGCCAGACTAATGCATCCTATTTTGGGGACCTCCACAACAAATGAATACGCACATCAGCACAATAAAAGTGTCGGAAATCACTACCTCCGAGTAGAGGGACTGCAGACAGCAGGAGGAAAGGAAAAATGCACTGTAAGAGCAGATGGATTTGTCCTCAGATTCACTGACAACTGGGTGGGAAGAAAGGTATTTGCAAGAGAGGTGATTTAGATGAGATATTGGGAGAAATCATGCTGGGCATGGAGCTGCTCTCTGCAGGCACAGGGCTGACTTATGTCACGCAAGGCTGGCAGGGGGACAGGCTGGCAGCAAATGCTGCTGAGACCCCTCGCCCCTCTGGCAGCTGAAGCTGGACAGCGTGGCCCCTGGTACAGCCCTGTGCCATGGTGGGCTGCCAGGACTGCAGCACAGAGGGCTGCAGCGCCCAGAAGCAGGGTCAGAGCTCTCCAAGCTCTTCTGCCAGCCCCAGACAGTTCATGTACCACCTTCTCATGAGGTCTCTGCACCTCTGCCAGACCGGCACACTGCTGTTCCTCTACCACCATTCCTCTGCAAAGGCAGAAGGGAACCAAATGCCTCTTAGTTTGGCCAAGCTAGAAGAGCCATAACCAAGACAACCATTCACCTTCTCCCCACCTTCACCCTATCTTTTAGCCAGAGTGCCCAATCTTGGGGTTTGAAGATTGATGAGGTGCAGAATCCTGAGTGCACAGACACTTGCTGCCTCACCAGACCTCCCCGGGGGCTTTGCAAGGTCTCCTTGAGGGGCAAACACCTCAGTTTACCATAAAGTCGAGACATTTTTGTGCAAATGCATCAAGAGAGAAACAGTCAACAACTAGAGCATCCCCAGTCATCCACCCCACTGTGACCCAGGAGACTCCAACTGCTTTCCAGCCCAGCCCATCCTTCCCTACAGATTTGTCAGCATCTGTCAGTTGTCGTTTGTACCCCAAGAAGCCTTCTCTTCTTCTCAAGCCACTCTGAAGCAACAAACAGATCATACCTGGTTACTGTGAAGACACTATTGTTGCTGAAGTTGGAGTCACCGGATGCATCCAGAGAGCCTGGGGGGAGATAAAAAGGAGACACAGTCTGTGGGATGACAGGGAAGGTGGAGAGCAGGACTGGGAGGCTGGAGAGCTGCACGACCTTCTGCAAAGACATCACCAGCCATTGTTTGAGGGTCTGGTAACCTCGAGGATCCCTTCTGCCTGCAGTGAGCGTTTTACACTCCTTGTCAAGCACTTCTCCATTGCCAGAAGTACTGGATGAAGCTGGTACAGAACTGCACTTACCCAGCAAAATGCAAGCTGCACAGCTTCAGACCTCTGCCCCAAAATGGCTCTCCTCCTCTGTAATGGGGACCCAGACACAGCCTGCTGATGGTTTCAACCATTCTCAAAGGAGCTCAGAATTGCAGAGCTGCCTTCCATCATCCAAATTTCAATGCCTAGAGACACCACGCAAGCACAGGAAAGGCTGAATCTAACCCAGAACATCTCTACCTGGCCAGCTCTCCTGTGGCGTGACTCCATGTGGAAGCCACGCAACCCAAACAGCTTCCCAACCTCTGCTCCGTGCTAAAACTGGGTCTTACAAGCACGGCAACAAAGCCTGGCAGGATGAACTTGATTCTTCATGCCCCCTTGTGCCAACAGCCTCTACTCACACATGCAGCGGCACCACCACATCAGCACAACCAGGGAGCAGAGCTGAGAGCTTGTGATGCAAAAGCATCACAGGTTTATCTGATCCTGCCTGCTTTGAGGTGCAATCTGATCCCAAAGGGCTAGAGACTAAAGCAATTAATCCTTCTGTTGATGTTTTAAAGCTCTTCTGCAATAGATTTGAATAAAAGGAGGTATTCTCAGGACAAATAAAGGAATAAAAAATAAAACTTTTCATTACTGTGCCACATTTTTCCCCTCCATCCCTTCCAAAAACACCATTGCATTGGCTGGGAATCAAACCCAGGCCTCCCGCATGGCAGGTGAGAATGCTACCACTGAACCACCAATGCTGCCCTATATACTACCCTGCATGCTCCCTACATGCCCCACTGCCTGCTCCTGCCAGCCCTGCCACCCACTTGCTGCCCCACACAGCTCCCTGCCTCTTCACCTTCCACTCAGCTGCTCTTCTCCAAGAAAAAACTTCAGCCTTTTAATTCCCACCTTACTGCTCCCTCTCGCGGCAGGATTTTCCAAAAGCTACTTGCAGGTGTGTGAGAGAAGAGCGCTGGGCTGAACGTGCGGCCCCAGAAGAATATTGCAGATTAGCCTGCGTGATTGAAATGTTGCACATATTTCACATGCCTGGACAACAAAGATGTGCCATCAAAGGGATGCTGGAAGGGTAAAGCCACTGCTGTTTTCAGGCCTCAGTCCACCGGGACTCTCTCCGTTTAGTTTCTACTCACTTGAACACTCTTCCAGGTCTCCCATCTCGCTTGCAAACTTTCGCCTTTGTCCTGGAAATTTTAGGACTGGGACAATACCCACATGATGGTCTCAACAGCACCATGGATTTGGAAAGGACCCAAAATTTTTCTCCTTTCTGTTCTCTACCCTTTCCCAACACAGATATCCTCCACGCACATGTTGATGCTCTCCCAGGACTAACACAGCTCTCTGAACTCTCCTTTGGGTGATGGCAGCTCCTCCCAAACCAGCCGCTGCAGGACAAGTGGGCCATTCTCTTACTGTGTTATGTATCAAGACACTGAATGTTTAACTAGAAATGATCTTTTCCAGTTCAACTTCACGACTAAGTTGAAGTGAAGTGTGGTGAGGGGATGGAGATGGTCACCGGGGAACACAGCACTGCAGCGCCGCTGGGGCTCCAGGCTGGATCAGCAACCCTGCCATGCAGATAGCACCAAACGCGTCTGTCTCAGCAGAAGATCGTCTGTGAAACAGGACTCCAAAGAGAGCACGGAGGTCACATGTGCCCCGAGCTGCCCGAGCACACCAAACCAACTCAAGAACTTCTCTTGAGAACCTTCCCTTGACTCTTCTTACACCTCTAATGGCTCAGACCAACAGGGACTCACCGCTGGATGCTGCCTCTGGCTTGGAGAGGGACTCCTCCGAGGTGGGCTCTGCCAGTAGGGTCATTGACTGCTTGGCCTCATCCATTTCATCATCCTCTGGGATGACCAGCTTCATCAGGCTCTGGTTGCACACGTTTGCCACCTCCTTGATGTCTGAGTGGAGGCAGTGTAAGGAACACGCAGTTCCACACATGGCTAGATGCCACATCTAGCTAGCCATGGAGAAGCCACTGCAGCCCCACCAGGCCTGCCCCAGCCCAGCTACTGTGACCCCCCTCACATCCAAAGGGCCAGTGTGGGTTTTAGCATTTGGTGGGAGGACCTCTCCTGGCCCTCTCCAGCCATGCAGCTGGTCCTGCGCCCCAGGGGCAGGAAACAGGCAGTTCCCTGAGGGTTGCTGTAGCAGGAACAGGAGCAGCTCCGAGTTAGAAGGATACTCTTCTTGCGATCATCATAGGAGAGACACGGCAGGACAGCAGTCAGGATCCCTGAGGAGTAAGGCAGCATCACCCGGCCAGCCAGCTGGATGAATTCCCGCATCCAGCACATGGCTGTCAGCTGGATCAGGTCATCTGGAAGACATGGGACAAGCAAAGGTGAGGGAAAGGACAGCACTGGCAGCTCAACAAACTCCAGAAGCCAAGGGCCACCTGCAAGCAGAGAGTTGCCTCTGCTCCATCCTCTGCTAGTCCAGAGAGACCTTGGTCTGGGACAGTTTAGTCCCACAGGAGACAGGGAAGACCTGAATCTGCAGTGAGGCTGAGATTAAACACAATCATCAGGTTTCAGAGTCAACCCAGTTCAATCCATAATCCAGGTTTCCTCATTTACAAGTATTCTGTCAAGCTTCCCAACACATAAGGATATTTCCTCCGTCACACCTGTAGCAGTTGTGTGTCCGGGTCAAGTATCACCCTCAGAGCTGGCGTTTTATTAACCTCCCCAAGTTCTAAAAAAGGGAGCGCTACTGAGGTAGTCAGACAATGCCAAGCCAGATTTGAGGCTTAAACAGTGTAAATTCATTTGGCATCAGTTTAATGAAGAGCAAGCAGTCTCGGTCTATTTCTGGTTGTCTACCTCACAAGAAACCCGCTCCCATTCAGCAACGCTTAAAGAGCAGTTTCAGCTCAATGAGCACAGCTCAGGGACAAGATCCTTCTCAGCAAACACATCCAACTGTAACCTTCTGCCACAGCAGACCCACAGGAGCTGCAGTGCAGCACTTATACAAAGCGTCAGGCACATCATGTTTAACTGTCCTGCCTATGCATCTATTGCCACCAGAGGCTAAGACAAGCCTCTAAGGAGATCCTTCTAGATGTGCTGGATATTCACTGGTGCCATCCACAGCCAGATATTTTACTTTCAGGCACCTCCATTTCGGGAGGATGCTGGACCTGGATTTGAGGCTGGGGGATCAGCAGTACAAGAGCAGTAGTGCCAACTGCAGGAGAGCTGCCCGTTCCCTCCTTTCAGCGGGATCTGCATGCACAACAATAAAGAAAAGGCAAGTGAGTGGGCTGGTGAACAGTCCACTGGAAAGCTCCTGGCCTGAACCTATGGTCGACACCGCAAACCCGGAGGCGGACACTATGGCTTGGTCCCGTGCACTCACCTGCCGCCTGGCAGTGGATCACCAGGATATTGGCCATTTCTGCAAACTTGACGCTGGAGGGGTTCTTCTTGATCTCCTTGAGGAATTCCCCGAGAGCCACTTCGCACCTGCAGGGAGGCAGAGCAGCTACTTAGCGCTCGGTCACCTTGGTCGGAGAAGTTACGGAGACCAGCCTCCTACACACATCCACAGATAGGCTGCTGGTGGCACGGCAGGTGTGCCTCCGTACAGGGGCAGGGCCAGGAAAGATGAGGCTGACATGCTCGCCCTGCCCCATGGCAGACTGCACACAGCTGCAGGGATGTAGGCAGTGACTGCCCAGAGCCCTGCACACTTTCCCAAAACTGCCCCCCTAACAGCCACGTAGGCTCTGTTGAGATGAAGGTCTGCCTGGGATGGGAAGCAGAGGGGCAGATGATACCCAAAGCTTTCAGTGTTTGGTCTTCAACATGGGGACACCGGGAAACAAAGAAGCAGGGAGGATCCAGGAGGGCTTGGCAGCAAGACAGACCTAGGCCAGTCTCACCACTTACTTGTGCCCTACAAAACAGGTCCAGTTACTCTCTCCCAGTGCAAGAAGCCAAGATCCTCTGACCTCCCTGAGAACACCCAGCCATTCCTGTGCTTCAAAATGCCTCTGTCTTGAGACCAGCAATGGATCTGAGGAGCAAGCTCACAATGCTTGCTTCTCTCCACCCAGGAGATGCTGGCTGGGTGCTCTGCCTTGCTGAGAGGGGTTCACATACTGCAAGCTTGTTCACAGAGCTCACACCCCACCCTAGAAGCTGGGTGCAAGGGCTGGGAAGGCAACAGCTCAACCGAGCCAAAACATGTTTGTCCCGCTACACAGACCACGGTGTCCTCCACAGCCATCCCAGCCACAAGAAGCCAGGGAAGGGAGGCCCTTGCCAAGGACACTTTGATCCACTGACCAAGCCAGATAGATTGCTCTGTCTCCCACACACGGTTTCGCTGCAGTTATACAGAAGAGCTCTAAACAAACGAAGAGGGCGATGGACAGACAGTGAGCAAGACACAGCCCTCGCGCCCAGCCAGCCTCCACACTCACATTTTCCGTATCTCCTTGCTGTTGTCTCCCAAGATCTGGAAAAGCCCGTCCAGGATTTCTGGCAGGTAATCCAAGAGGTTGATATCAGGCACAGACTCTAAGACCAGGATCTAGCTCAGGGGAGGAATAAGAAAAGAGAGGTGAGTTTCAGAGAAGCTAACTAACATCACCAGCACAAATCTCGTGATACAGAGGAATTTGGAGCTGAGCTGCGTGGGATGGGCAGGGGGAAGGACAAGAGGACAGCACGGAGCTGTCCATCTTGAAAAGAAGCTGGGCTAGTACAGGAAGCAAGCAATCAGCCTGCAGCATTGCTGCGTTTCCAATCACAGCTCTGTAAAACACAGCAGGGATCAGGAACGACTGCCAAGACACATGCAGCCAGACCCAGGACGGCAAACAGTATAGCTGAAAGAGCGCAGAGGCACGCATCTCCCCCCAGACCCTGGCCAGGCACTGAGAGCTCCTGCCTTGCACAGAAAAGAGAAAGCAAGCAGAGACATCTTGCCTCCTGGAGAGCAACATCCCTCAATCACTGCTGGTGATGGAAAGCAGGCTGGCACTGTCCCTTGGGAGACTGTAACCTCTGTACTGCAGCATACCTATTTACACAAGCAACGCTTTGACCGTATTTTCTAACTCGGTGTGCAACGTCCCGAACCAGCTGGCAGAAGCGCAGCATGATGTCCCTGCAACTGCAACGGCGAGGTGACAGGGAGCTGGCATTTTAAAGAAGCCCGTGAAAAACTCTACTGGGTTAAAAAACCTGTCCAAGTAAATTCAGATGCTTGAGTTCATGCATCACTGTGGATATCTGCTGTTTGCCCAGACACGGGATGCTGACTGGTCACATTGTTTTGGAGTTCGGACTGGCAGGCACAGGAGGCGCCGTGTATACCTACCCAGGATATGATGAACTGGCGGGCATACTGGTTGTTGGAGTAAATCCTCTCACGCAGCAGTGGGATGAAGCCTACCAAGTCAAACTGGTTGCTCTCTGTCACGATGTCCTGCAGGGCCCAAGTAAAGGGTGTTAGGAGGGATGGCCACCACCCCATGCCCACACAGCCACCCCCATCCAGCCTTTTTAAGGCACATGACAGGAAAAAGATGACAAGCAGTTGATACATGGGTCTGTGGGTCAGGAGACCTGGGGAGAAGGAATCATGGGATTTATTCAGGCAATGAGCCAGTAATCCCCCTTGGGCAAGGACTAACACTGAGCAGGACCCAGAGAGGGAGGCTCCTGCCTGCTCTGTGCCAACAGGAGGAGAGTGGAAGCCT